GGGGGGGGGGGGGGGGGGCTGGAAAACGCTTTCTAAGCTTCTGGGCACAGAACCCTCCTGCAGAGAAGAAGGGCCTTCTCAGTGGCTCTGCTTTTGGGCCAGTATATTGAATTGTCAACTTTTATTGATTCCCAATTGACAGTCCACATCATACCATTTTCTGAGGGCTTGCTCAAAGAAACCACGTTCTCATCTGAGCCTTTGATAGGGATTTGTTTAGTTCGAAGAAAACAATTAGTGGATTGGTTGGATGTCCAACAAAACGCCAGGAAAACCGTGTTTGGGAAGCTCATGTCTAGAAAAGAATCAGGTGGAAATGTTCACCGCCGAACTGGACTGGGCCCGACCATCTTTTCTTTAGTATCAAGTACAATTTGTATGCGGCTTGTACAGATCTGGTAAATCAGAAGGCAGATAGATAGCACAGATGGTTGGAGGTGTCGGGTCAGATCATGCCACGCCTGAGTGCAGAGCTAAGCTCGTTCTGACGGAAAACCCTGATATTATTTTCACAGATCTTCACAGTTCACTCGAAAAAAATAGCAGAGGGAAGGAAAAAGCCCTGCAACTATTTACATCATTTCTGTGAGATTGCCAGCCTCCTCAACCGACAGGCTTTCTTTTTTGAGAGCTCATTTTCTTGAAACGCGACAGGGCAGGGGCAGAATAAAGAGGGCAATGAGGATAATGACAAAGCATAAACCTTCCCTAGCTTGGAGCGACTTCCGAATCAGCCAGGACAACTTTTAGTGAGAAACAACGCATACAAAATCCTAGAAGAAGCAGGCGGTGGGAATCCGCTGTGCAGAAAACCCGGCGGGCCGTGGGAGCCAGGCAGGGATGAAGCCGGACCCTGCGAGGGCTGCATTCCCAGAACCTCTGGCTAGGGAAAGCAAGCATCCTCTTGCTCCAGTTTGCAAAGCTTTCAGCTTTCTTTCCCCTCTTGTGATGGCTCTTTCGCAGGCTCTCACTCGCAGAGTCGCTTTACGCTCGCCCTTCGCGCCCAGAAGAGGCCGAGGTCCGCCGACACCTTACAGCCCGAATGCCCAGAGCAGACCCCAATTCTGGTGTCTAGCGGCTGGATGTGGGGGAAGTTGTCGGTGCCCCAGGAGACCACGCCTCCCCGCACCCTTTCGCTGAACATTTTGAAGCGGTGGGTTCGGGGAGAACTGGCTTCTTACCCTTAGTCTCTATGAGCAAGTCTTGTTAATTTTCCGAGTCCAGGCGCACCATCCAGGAAATGGGAATATTTATCCTATAGCCCATTTATCTGAGCTGTTGTCCAGTAATTCTGCAAATATTAGATAAGAGAGCTCCGGTTTCTGCGTGTCTTAGGCTCGCAGGCAACTGGGACCGACAGTCTGGGTTGGCTGCGCCGGAGCCGCCAGAAAAGGGTGCGGCTGCGTACGGCAGAGTCCCAGCGGCGTCTGGGCAATGGCGGGAGGGACCTGAGAAGTGCCTGGAAGTCGGGGTCTACTGTCAGGAGATCATATCTTCGCCATCGCAAGGGGCTTGATTTAATTTTGTCAACTCAAAGGAAATAAACTGCCTCGGAGCAACTTGGAATCACTTATTTGTTCACCAGCTTCATGCAATGAAGGGATAAACAGAAAGAAATATGTCAGCCGAGCCACCATCCTTGGAAAAGAGAGAAGCGTCGCGAGTTTCCTTTAGAAATAACCCTACTGTGGAGAAGGTGGGGACCCTTACCCCACCCTTAAAGTGCACTTCTCCCGAGTTTGCCAGGCGAAAGCTGCACATTGGGTTGGCTTTTCTTAATTTTATAGACAGATAGATTCTTAAAAATATATCTATCTGGGGCTTTTAAAAAATATATCAATTTGCGGGCTTTGTGCCAACCCTCGGGCAATCTCCTACTCCTCACCCCACGCTTCCTTTATCTTTTTCACTTGACCAGGAAATCGAGAAAACGCAGCGGCAACCCTGGGCCTTGGGCCTGTCTGGGCGGCTTTGCAACTTTCTAGTGTGGTTTGCAGCTAGTACATTGGGACGTGACGTCTCAGGCAAAAGCTCGGGTACACAGAAGTCTATTCTGCTCTCTCCAGAGTCAGAATTTTATTTTATGGGGAAAAAATATGGAGAAAAAAGCGTGTAGAAGACGATGCCCACAGATAGATTCTAACTGTTTGGTGCTGGACTTTGGCAAAGTGCCTCGAGGGAGTTGTGAGGTTCATGCCAGATATCTTAGTTCAGCTTAGGACTTCTGCGCGTATGGGGATCTCACCCCTCATTTTGAACCTACTGATTTTCCTCTTTAGAGTAGAGGGACATGTGGGACGTAGTCACACCTGCTGAACTGTAGCTCACGTTTGCCAGAAGAGTGCAGCGTTTAAAAGTCTCTACATTTTTACCTCTGGGTTCCACTCTTGTCTTGCCTTATCTTTTCTTTGACTTTTCCTAACTCAAATGCCTTTTTAAAAAAGGATGTGTTTTTTTTCCCTCTCTTAATTTCACAAAGTCAGGGATTTTAAGAATGCACTAACTGAAACCATCTGAATTTCATGATAAAGACATTTGTGCTGCTTCTGAGAGTCAAAGACTGGAAGTCAATGAGGCCCCAGACTTTAATGTGTGTTGATTTGCACTTTTGGGGCAGAGATCTTGGCTTCCCTTTCCTGTGCCTCAAAGCTGAATATTTCCTTGAGAGCTGGCTTTTATTTTTATAACTGTAATTTCTTAATAATATAAAAGTAATCTAGAAGGTTTTAAAAGGCATTTTACAGTCTTTACAGTATTAAATTTTCACACTCATTTATTCATTAATTTAATATTATGATTTTCAGATGATACCATATACATAAATATAGATGTATGTTTGCTTATGTATTTGGTGGTCCATATCTTCAGATTATGGAATGAATTCAATATCCTATTTTTAACGTACTAACTGTCTTAATAAATTCCCAAGGTATAGATTGCTCTAGTTCATATATTCCTCCCCTGCCAGTATACACCTAATAACAAAGAACAGAGAAGCCTCTTTATTGTGTACTCCTGAGAACAAACACCATTTGAGAAATGTTTTGAAAATTTCCTGGCACTGTAAAATTAACTGGCAAAAAAAGTTACAATTAAAATATAGATCTAACTTTAAGAGACTAGAATATTTTATTATTCACCAGCTATATTTTAAATGACATTTCTGAATGATGCAAAATTCTTATGTTGTTAAGTGCAGGGAATTTTTATAAGTTTAAAATGCGGGAAAATGTACTATTTAAAATTAATAATTAATTAGCAGTAATGTTTTAAAAAAATGTTAGACTGCCTATACAACTCTGTTTGGGCTTCTAGTTTGTAGTTGATTCAAGACATTTGGATAAGAATTTGCATTTAAGCCAAAAAGTGTATTACAAGTTATACTTCTTGTAATATAAACTGTGACCTTAAATTCACTTTTCTCTCTCCCGCTTTTTTAGGGCAAGTCTAAATGTGCACATGTAGCTACACTACAGCATTACTTGCTTAAAACTGTATATCGATGGGTTCTCATTTGAATAATTAATGATTAAAAATGCAACAAGCCTGTCACTTATAAACATTTTGTTATCAGTAAGTAAACAATAATTGAGTGACTGAAAGAATGATTAATTCATAGTTCTCTACTGGAACATTATTTTCTTTCTACCAACAAGTTATTTTTGACCATTTTCAAATCTAAGATCCAAGTATCCTTCTAAAATACACATACAAACTTTAAAATTCAATAAAGTGAAAGAGTAGAAATTTGCTTAATATCCTCTGGGATCAGCCGGACATTAATTCCAACTGGGTTTGAG